TCCAGAAAAACGCATGTCAAAAATGTTATAAATTGATTTGCATTTTAATGAGGGAAATAAGTATTTGACCCCTCTGCAAAACATGACTTAGTACTTGGTGGCAAAACCCTTGTTGGCAATCACAGAGGTCAGACGTTTCTTGTAGTTGGCCACCAGGTTTGCACACATCTCAAGAGGAATTTTGTCCCACTCCTCTTTGCAGATCTTCTCCAAGTCATTAAGGTTTCGAGGCTGACGTTTGGCAACTCGAACCTTCAGCTCCCTCCACAGATTTTCTATGGGATTAAGGTCTGGAGACTGGCTAGGCCACTCCAGGACCTTAATGTGCTTCTTCTTGAGCCACTCCTTTGTTGCCTTGGCCGTGTGTTTTGGGTCATTGTCATGCTGGAATACCCATCCACGACCCATTTTCAATGCCCTGGCTGAGGGAAGGAGGTTCTCACCCAAGATTTGACGGTACATGGCCCCGTCCATCGTCCCTTTGATGCAGTGAAGTTGTCCTGTCCCCTTAGCAGAAAAACACCCCCAAAGCATAATGTTTCCACCTCCATGTTTGACGGTGGGGATGGTGTTCTTGGGGTCATAGGCAGCATTCCTCCTCCTCCAAACACGGCGAGTTGAGTTGATGCCAAAGAGCTCGATTTTGGTCTCATCTGACCACAACACTTTTACCCAGTTCTCCTCTGAATCATTCAGATGTTCATTGGCAAACTTCAGACGGGCATGTATATGTGCTTTCTTGAGCAGGGGGACCTTGCGGTCGCTGCAGGATTTCAGTCCTTCACTGCGTAGTGTGTTACCAATTGTTTTCTTGGTGACTATGGTCCCAGCTGCCTTGAGATCATTGACAAGATCCTTCCGTGTAGTTCTGGGCTGATTCCTCACCGTTCTCCACGAGGTGAGATCTTGCATGGAGTCCCAGGCCGAGGGAGATTTACAGTTATTTTGTGTTTCTTCCATTTGCGAATAATCGCACCAACTGTTGTCACCTTCTCACCAAGCTGCTTGGCGATGGTCTTGTAGCCCATTCCAGCCTTGTGTAGGTCTACAATCTTGTCCCTGACATCCTTGGAGAGCTCTTTGGTCTTGGCCATGGTGGAGAGTTTGGAATCTGATTGATTGATTGCTTCTGTGGACAGGTGTCTTTTATACAGGTAACAAGCTGAGATTAGGAGCACTCCCTTTAAGAGTGTGCTCCTAATCTCAGCTCGTTACCTGTATAAAAGACACCTGGGAGCCAGAAATCTTTCTGATTGAGAGGGAGTCAAATACTTATTTACCTCATTAAAATGCAAATCAATTTATAACATTTTTGACATGCGTTTTTCAGGATTTTTTTTGATGTTATTCTGTCTCTCACTGTTCAAATAAACCTACCATTAAAATTATAGACTGCTCATGTCTTTGTCAGTGGGCAAACGTACAAAACCAGCAGGGGATCAAATACTTTTTCCCCCTCACTGTAGCTCCTCCCACCAGCTTCCTCTGATTAATACATGCATTAACAGAAATTCATGTAACTAAATGACGGGGGATTTACAGTTCATTTACTAGGCACACTGGTGACATGTGTAATGGGGAGTTGATTAAAAAAAAGAACAATCAAAGGGCAAACAATTCACACATTGAAACAATTAATGGGCAAGAATTGGCGGGAGACAGCTGAGCGCATTCTGGAGAGCTGAGTGGATGCATTCTGGAGAGCTGAGTGGATGCATTCTGGAGAGCTGAGTGGATGCATTCTGGAAAGCTGAGTGGATGCATCTGGAAAGCTGAGTGGATGCATTCTGGAGAACTGAATGGATGCATTCTGGAGAGCTGAGTGGATGCATTCTGGAGAGCTGAGTGGATGCATCTGGAAAGCTGAGTGGATGCATTCTGGAGAGCTGAGTGGATGCATTCTGGAAAGCTGAATGGATGCATTCTGGAGAGCTGAGTGGATGCATTCTGGAGAGCTGAGTGGATGCATTCTGGAAAGCTGAATGGATGCATTCTGGAGAGCTGAGTGGATGCATTCTGGAGAGCTGAGTGGATGCATTCTGGAAAGCTGAATGGATGCATTCTGGAGAGCTGAGTGGATGCATTCTGGAAAGCTGAATGGATGCATGCTGGAGAGCTGAGTGGATGCATTCTGGAAAGCTGAGTGGATGCATTCTGGAAAGTTGAGTAGATGCATTCTGGAGAGCTGAGTGGATGCATTCTGGAGAGCTGAATGGATGCATTCTGGAGAGCTGAGAGCTGAGCCACAACTCATTCAGCTAGCCCTAATGCCACGCCCACTGCCCAAACTGCGGGCTTCCCAAATAGACATAGGCCTATGCACTTGTGATTTGAAACAATCCACAGATAGTTTAAATAAAATAAGCTAATGATCCTCTGTGGCTAAGTCATGCTCCCTGGTGAAGTATTAAGAATATTTTTATTTAGACAGGGGTAATTATAGCCTATAATTTTGGCAAAACATCAATTTACTTTAGGGGAATCCAGCATCCTAACTGTGCACCCGCCAACCTTCCTTTCCAATTCGCAAGAGGCTAAAACCAGAGATCTGTATGTAATGACGAGATACTCATGTCTCCGCCGTAACAATGGGAGTCTTTGTCCCAAAGGCAAAAAGGTAGGCGACAAGCTTAGGTCTGCATATTAAGCCCATGGAAACGCATTGGGCTTATTCTGGACAGATTTTGGCGAGAGTGAGCCCTCTTACTTTCTGCTGAAACTCTCTCCGAGTGAGCGAAACAGCGCCCCTCTGTCTTACTATATGTAGCCCATGTATCTGATGATGTCTGGCCAGAAATAGTATTACATGCCATACTCTTTTGGTCCAGACAGCATCAGATACATTTACATTTACATTTTAGTCATTTAGCAGACGCTCTTATCCAGAGCGACTTACAGTTAGTGAGTGCATACATTATATATATAAAAAAAAAAAAAAATTCATTCTGGCCCCCCGTGGGAACCGAACCCACAACCCTGGCGTTGCAAACGCCATGCTCTACCAACTGAGCTACATCCCTGCCAGCCATTCCCTCCCCTACCCTGGACGACGCTGGGCCAATTGTGCGCCGCCCCATGGGTCTCCCGGTCGCGGCCGGCTACGACAGAGCCTGGATTCGAACCAGGATCTCTAGTGGCACAGCCTTAGACCACTGCGCCACTCGGGAGACATGGTACATGGTCTCTACACATACTGAGACAGAGGGGCGCTGTTTCGGTCGATTGGATGCTTTATTTGAGATTGAGTCTTTCTGTCGGCTCAAATAAATGATCTACAGTCACACACACACCCCTTCCTAATACTGAGTTGAACCCCCCCCCCCCTTTCGCAGAACAGCCTCAATTCGTCGGGGCATGGACTCTACAAGGTGTCGAAAGTGTTGGCCCATATTGACTCCAATGCATCCCACAGTTGTGTCAAGTTGGCTGGATGTCCTTTGGGTGGTGGACCGTTCTTGATACACACAGGAAACGGTTAAGCATGAAAAACCCAGCAGCGTTGCAGTTCTTGACAAAAACAGGTGCGCCTGGTACTTACTATGATACCCCATTCAAAGGCATTTAAATATTTTGTCTTGCCCATTCACCCTCTGACACACATACACAATCCATGTCTCAATCCTAAAAAAAATCCTTCTTTAATCGGTCTCCTCCTCCTTCATCTACACTGATTGAAGTGGATTTAACAAGGGACATCAATAAGGGATCATAGCTTTCACCTGGATTCACCTGGTCAGTCTATGTCATGGAAAGAGCAGGTGTTCCTAATGTTCTGTGCACTCAGTGTATCTCCTTTGGTCCTTCCAAGCATCTGCCTCTAACCCTAGGAAGCTCTTTGCCACCTTCTCCTCCCTGCTGAATCCCCCCCCCCCCCGGCTCTGTCATATCCTCACATGGCCTCTCCTATCATTGCTACGCAGACGACACACAACTAATCTTCTCCTTTCCCCCTTCTGATAACCAGGTGGCGAATCGCATCTCTTCATGTCTGGCAGACATATCAGTGTGGATGACGGATCACCACCTCAAGCTGAACCTCGGCAAGACGGAGCTGCTCTTCCTCCCGGGGAAGGACCTCCCGTTCCATGATCTCGCCATCACGGTTGACAACTCCGTTGTGTCCTCCTCCCAGAGTGCAAAGAGCCTTGGCGTGACCCTGGACAACACCCTGTCATTCTCCGCTAACATCAAGGCGGTGACCCGATCCTGTAGGTTCATGCTCTACAACATTCGGAGAGTACGACCCTGCCTTACACAGGAAGCGGCACAGGTCCTAATCCAGGCACTTGTCATCTCCCGTCTGGATTACTGCAACTCGCTGTTGGCTGGGCTCCCTGCCTGTGCCATTAAACCCCTACAACTCATCCAGAATGCCACAGCCCGTCTGGTGTTCAACCTTCCCAAGTTCTCTCACGTCACCCCGCTCCTCCACACACTCCACTGGCTTCCAGTTGAAGCTTGCATCTGCTACAAGACCATGGTGCTTGCCTACGGAGCTGTGAGGGGAACGGCACCTCCATACCTTCAGGCTCTGATCAGTCCCTACACCCAAACGAGGGCATTGCGTTCATCCACCTCTGGCCTGCTGGCCCCCCTACCTCTGCGGAAGCACAGTTCCCACTCAGCCCAGTCAAAACTGTTCGCTGCTCTGGCACCCCAATGGTGGAACAAGCTCCCTCACGACGCCAGGACAGCAGAGTCACTCACCACCTTCCGGAGACACTTGAAACCCTACCTCTTTAAGGAATATCTGGGATAGGATAAAGTAATCCTTCTACCTCCCCCTTACCCCACCCCAAAGAAAGAAAAAAAAAACATATTGTAAAGTGGTTATCCCACTGGCTATAAGGTGAATGCACCAATTTGTAAGTCGCTCTGGATAAGAGCGTCTGCTAAATGACGTAAATGTAAAATGTAAATGTCTTAATTTTTTTAAATCAAAAACCGTCAAATGTGTGTTCTGTCCTGTTCTCTCTCAGGTCCTCCAGAGGTTGAGCTGCATGGCTCAACGTCACAGCCTTTACCTGGTGGCCAACATGGCTGACCTCCATCCCTGCCCTCAGACCTCCCACCCCCCCTGCCCACCCGATGGGCGATGGCAGTTCAACACTGACGTAGTCTTCAGGTTGGTAGAACCTATGTTGTTTCTGTTTTCAACACATTGTTCTTAAGCCGTGAGAGAATCAAGGTGTACATGTGCTCTTGGAATTATGTTCTTGCTATATTGTTAAGAGTCTTTCATCCAAAGCGCACCCCACCATCAACCATTCTCTGGATGTACAGTATGTTTTAATAATAATTGTATTACTTTTTTACACAATGAGTTGGGTTATATAGATGAAAATGCGTTTTGTTCTCCCATTCACTGCAGGTCTGATGGTTCCCTGGCGGCGCGCTATCACAAACACAACCTGTACTTCGAGAACGCCTTCGATGCCCCGCCCAGGCTAGAGGTGGTGGCCTTTGACACGCCGTTTGCCGGACGGTTTGGAGTGTTTACCTGCTTCGACATCATGTTCCATGAACCTACTGTCAGGTTGCTGGAGCAGGTACATGAAGCTTAGAGGGTGGCAGGTAGCCTTGTGGCAGGTAGCCTTGTGGCAGGTAGCCTTGTGGCAGGTAGCCTTGTGGCAGGTAGCCTTGTGGCAGGTAGCCTTGTGGCAGGTAGCCTTGTGGCAGGTAGCCTTGTGGCAGGTAGCCCTGTGTGCAGGTAGCCCTGTGTGCAGGTAGCCTTGTGGCAGGTAGCCTTGTGGCAGGTAGCCTTGTGGCAGGTAGCCTTGTGGCAGGTAGCCCTGTGGCAGGTAGCCTTGTGGCAGGTAGCCTTGTGGCAGGTAGCCTTGTGGCAGGTAGCCCTGTGTGCAGGTAGCCCTGTGTGCAGGTAGCCTTGTGGCAGGTAGCCTTGTGGCAGGTAGCCCTGTGTGCAGGTAGCCTTGTGGCAGGTAGCCTTGTGGCAGGTAGCCTTGTGGCAGGTAGCCCTGTGTGCAGGTAGCCTTGTGGCAGGTAGCCTTGTGGCAGGTAGCCTTGTGGCAGGTAGCCTTGTAGCAGGTAGCCCTGTGTGCAGGTAGCCCTGTGTGCAGGTAGCCTTGTGGCAGGTAGCCCTGTGTGCAGGTAGCCTTGTGGCAGGTAGCCTGTGGCAGGTAGCCCTGTGGCAGGTAGCCCTGTGGCAGGTAGCCCTGTGTGCAGGTAGCCTTGTAGCAGGTAGCCCTGTGTGCAGGTAGCCTTGTGGTAGGTAGCCTTGTGGCAGGTAGCCTTGTGGCAGGTAGCCCTGTGGCAGGTAGCCTTGTAGCAGGTAGCCCTGTGGCAGGTAGCCCTGTGGCAGGTAGCCTTGTGGCAGGTAGCCTTGTAGCAGGTAGCCCTGTGGCAGGTAGCCCTGTGGCAGGTAGCCTTGTAGCAGGTAGCCCTGTGGCAGGTAGCCTTGTAGCAGGTAGCCCTGTGGCAGGTAGCCCTGTGGCAGGTAGCCTTGTGGCAGGTAGCCTTGTGGCAGGTAGCCTTGTAGCAGGTAGCCCTGTGGCAGGTAGCCCTGTGGCAGGTAGCCTTGTAGCAGGTAGCCCTGTGGCAGGTAGCCTTGTAGCAGGTAGCCCTGTGGCAGGTAGCCCTGTGGCAGGTAGCCTTGTGGCAGGTAGCCTTGTGGCAGGTAGCCTTGTGGCAGGTAGCCCTGTGGCAGGTAGCCTTGTAGCAGGTAGCCCTGTGGCAGGTAGCCTTGTAGCAGGTAGCCCTGTGGCAGGTAGCCCTGTGGCAGGTAGCCTTGTGGCAGGTAGCCTTGTAGCAGGTAGCCCTGTGGCAGGTAGCCCTGTGGCAGGTAGCCTTGTAGCAGGTAGCCCTGTGGCAGGTAGCCTTGTAGCAGGTAGCCCTGTGGCAGGTAGCCCTGTGGCAGGTAGCCTTGTGGCAGGTAGCCCTGTGGCAGGTAGCCTTGTGGCAGGTAGCCTTGTGGCAGGTAGCCTTGTGGCAGGTAGCCCTGTGGCAGGTAGCCCTGTGGCAGGTAGCCCTGTGGCAGGTAGCCTTGTAGCAGGTAGCCCTGTGGCAGGTAGCCTTGTGGCAGGTAGCCTTGTGGCAGGTAGCCTTGTAGCAGGTAGCCCTGTGGCAGGTAGCCCTGTGGCAGGTAGCCCTGTGGCAGGTAGCCTTGTGGTTAGAGCGTTGGGCCAGTAACCAAAAAGGTGGAAAAATCTGTCGAGGTGCCCTTGAGCAAGGCACTTAACCCTAATTGCTCCAGCATCGCCGTTGTTAATGGCAGACCCTGGCTGTGACCCCGCTCTCTGAGGGTGTCTCAGAGAGAGTAGGATATGCAAAAAACACATTTACAATTCACACATGCATATTAATACACACTGGTACATGTGTGAAATAGGACAAATATAAGCACTCACCAAATTAGTATTACACACACACACAAACACACATATTTTTCCACAATGTTTCATTATGGATCCAAATGAAGTTAAAAGTCTGTGTTAATGTCTTTCTCTCTCTCCTCAGGGTATCAGACAGATGGTCTACCCCACAGCCTGGATGAACCAGCTTCCTCTGCTGTCAGCGGTTCAGTTCCAGAGAGCCTTCAGTCTGGGAGCTAACACCACCCTGCTGGCTGCTAACATCAGGGCAGACAGCCTGGGCATGACAGGCAGTGGCATCTTCACCCCTGGTACTGCCGTCTACCACCACGCCAGGGCTGGGCAGCCAGAGGAGGGGAGGCTGCTGGTGTTGAGGATACCTGTCCTGGACACTGACTGGCTGGGAACAGAGAAGAGGGCCAAGGGGCAGGCAAGAGGAGAGGGGGAGGCAGGAGGAGAGGGGGAGACAAGAGGAGAGGTAGAGGCAGGAGGAGAGGGAGAGGCAGGAGGAGAGGGGGAGACAAGAGGAGAGGGGGAGGCAGGAGGAGAGGGGGAGGCAGGAGGAAAGGGGGAGGCAAGAGAGGCGGTGGAAGCTTATACCAGGTCACCTAAGCCTCTGTCTGGACAGAGGGAGGACAACTCTGGGTTCTGTTTACAGGAGAGCCAACACTGCCAGGAGGAATCTCTCTCTGCCTCTCCTCCTACCCTCTCTCCCACTCCCTCCACATCCCCCTTTCTCTTCACCTCCTCTATGATGTATGATCCGTTCTCCTTCGTCCTGCTGCGTGGTTCAGAGGGCCAGCTGACTGTGTGTGATGGTCCTTTCTGCTGTCACCTGCAGTACCGACGCTCCCCACAGGGGGACAATACGGAGCTCTATGCTCTAGGGGCGTTCTCTGGCACTCACACGGTTAACGGACGCTACGCTGTACAGGTAGGGAGGGATATTTAAATTGACCCACATTACAACTTACATTTGGAACTGGTTCGAGGACTCTTGCACTGTGTATACTTGCAACATTTGTTAGTATTCAACTTTCGGTTGATCATTATTATGTTTAATTTGCAAGGATACAGTCTACCAGTTCTACTAAGTATACCAGTTCTACTAAGTATACAGTCTACCAGTTCTACTAAGTATACAGTCTACCAGTTCTACTAAGTATACCAGTTCTACTAAGTATACAGTATACCAGTTCTACTAAGTATACAGTCTACCAGTTCCCAAACTGTGATCTTTCAATAGTTAAGCCTCTTACAGCAATACAACAGTTCATGCATGGCAATAAGGATTAACCCCTCCCCCTCCAGGTGTGTGCGTTGGTCCGCTGCTTGGGGTCGGAGGTCAGCTCCTGTGGACAGGAAGTGGAGGAGGCGGAGTCTAGAGTGGACTTCCTATTGGAGGGGAAGTTCGGAACGCGTCACGTTTACCCGTCGTTGCTAGGTAGCGGCATGGTTCTAGAACAACCTGACCAGGTCAAGACGACTGCAGATGGTCGAGTGGCCATGAAACACTCAGGGATGACCGTCGGGCTGGTGACCGCATGTCTCTACGGCAGGGTGTACGACCAGGACTAAGGTGTGAGTAAGAGAGAGAGAGAGAGTGTGTGTTTGGGTTAAATTATTGTGTGGTCCCATAAAGTGGGCCTATCTTCTGCCTCAGTAAATAAATGTTCTCCAACCTCTTTTGTTGTCGTTTCAGTAGCATTTAAAATGACACCTTATTCTCTTCAAAGTGCACTACATTATAGGTCTATGCCCTATGACACAATAATCCCTATGTAGTGCAATATATGACTGGGGGTGCGTCCCAATAATCTCTACTTCCTCCTGAAGTGTGCACTACTCCCCACAAATTGAAAAGCGTTGGATTTGGTGTAGGCATGGGCTATACACCAGTCATTTACTTTCAAATTAATGAAGGGACATGAACAAGTGCACACTTTGGAAAAAAAATGAGAGATTATTGGGACGCAAATCCTACTCCTTATGTAGTGCACACCATCTATTAACACCATAATCTGGAGAACAACTCAGGCATTTCAAAATAAACCAACATAATTAAATATCAGTCATTATTAAGAACATTTCACCATATTAAAGTCCATATTATGCCTTTGAATTTCTCACCTGAAAAAGGGCAACGTTTCACTCACGCGGCACACAAACACACACACACACACACACATTTCCTGTCTGCAGTACAGTTTAGAAATGTTCAGAGTGTGTGAAGTGTTAAAACTGACAGGAATTTAGTGACTTACAATTTCTGGGATCTTTTATTTCAGCTCATGAAACATGGGACCAACATTTTAGATGTAGCTTAGTGGTTAAGAGCGTTGTGCCAGTAACCGAAAGGTCGCTGGTTCTAATCCCAGAGCCGACTAGGTAAAAAATCTGTCGATGTGCCCTTGAGCAAGGCACTTAACCCTAATTGCTCCTGTAAGTCGCTCTGGATAAGAGCGTCTGCTAAATGACTAAAATATTTTTGTTCACTATACAGCGAATTCTGAAAGTATTCAGACCCCTTGACTTTTTCCACATTTTGTTACGTTACAGCCTTATTCTAAAATTGATTAACTTCTTAAGGATCGGACCCCTTTTTTCAATTTTCGCCTAAAATGACATACCCAAATCTAACTGCCTGTAGCTCAGGACCTGAAGCAAGGATATGCATATTCATGATACCATTTGAAAGGAAACACTTTGAAGTTTGTGGAAATGTGAAATTAATGTAGGAGAATATAACACATTAGATCTGGTAAAAGGTAATACAAACCAAAAAACATGCATTTTTTCATTGAAATGCAAGAGAAAGGCCACAATATAATATTGCATTTTAGGCGCCATTTAGATTTTGGCCACTAGATGGCAGCAGTGTGTGCTATTTTGTATCAAGTCTGCCCAAATGTGCCGAATTGGTCAATTGATACATTTTCAAGTACACAACTATAAAGAACATACAAAATTGATATGGTAATACAAAATGTAAGTTTACACACTCCCATGAATGTCATACATGAAGGATCATTAGCTTATACACTAACTTTCACACATCTAGATGGCCGGGCAGGGTGGGTGTGGAGCCAGAGACAGCAGGGGTTCCAACTGTAGAACCCAGTTCCTACATTTGAATATAAAAATGGATTTTATGAAACAAAACTATGCTAAATTTTATCTCTGGGACCCTTAGGATGACAAATCAGAGCAAGATTACTGAATGTATGTACATTATTTACCTTCAGAGGTGAGTGGGTAAGAGCGTTGTGCCAGTAACCGAAAGGTCGCTGGTTCTAATCCCCGAGCTGACTAGGTGAAAAATCTGTCGATGTGCCCTTAAGCAAGGCACTTAACCCTAATTGCTCCTGTAAGTCGCTCTGGATAAGAGCGTCTGCTAAATGACTAAAATGTAATGTAAAATGTAATGTATCAAACCAGTTGCCGTGATACGTTTTTTGTTGTTGTGCACTCTCCTTAAACAATAGCATGGTATTTTTCACTGTAATAGCTACTGTAAATTGGACAGTGCAGTTAGACTAACAAGAATTTAAGCTTTCTGCCCATATAAGACATGTCTATGTCCTGGAAAGTTGGCTGTTACTTACAACAGTCATGCTAATCACATTAGCGCACGTTAGCTCAACCGTCCCGTATACGGGACACCGATCCCGTAGAGGTTAAATTGTCCCCCCCCCCTCATCAATCTACACACAATACCCCATAATGACGAAGTGAAAACAGGTTTTTACAAATGTTTGCAAATTTATTAAAAATAAAAAACTGAAATATCTTGTTTACATAAGTATTCAGACCCTTTAATCAGTACTTTGTTGAAGCACCTTTGGTAGCAATTATAGCCTTGAGTCTTCTTCAGTATGATGCTACATGCTTGGCACACCTGTATTTGGGGGGTTTCTCCCATTCTTCTCTGCAGATCCTCTCAAGCTCATTCAGGTTGGATGGGGAGTGTCGCTGCACAGCTATTTTCAGGTCTCTCCAGAGATGTTGGATTGGGTTAAAGCCTGGGCTCTGGCTGGGCCACTCAAGGACATTCAGAGACTTGTCCCGAAGCCACTCCTGTGTTGTCTTGACTGTGTGCTTAGGGTCGTTGTCCTGTTGGAAGGTGAACCTTCACCCCAGTCTGAGGTCCTGAGCGCTCTGGATCAGGTTTTCATCCAAGATCTCGCTGTGCTTTGCTCCGTTCATCTTTCCCTCGATCCTGACTAGTCTCCCAGTCCCTGCCGCTGAAAAACATTCCCACAGCATGATGCTGCCACCACCATGCTTCACCGTAGGGATGGTTCCAGGTTTCCTCCAGATGTGACACTTCGCATTCAGGCCAAAGAGTTCAATCTTGGTTTCATCAGACCAGAAAATCTTGTTTCTCATGGTCTGAGAGTCCTTTAGGTGTCTTTTGGCAATCTCCAAGCTGGCTGTCATGTGCCTTTTACTGAGGAGTGGCTTCTGTCTGGCCACCCTACCATATAGGCCTGATTGGTGGAGTGCTGCAGAGATGGTTGTCCTTCTGGAAGGTTCTCCCATCTCCACAGAGGAACTCTGGAGCTCTGTCTGAGTGACCATCGGGTTCTTGGTCACCTCCCTGACCAAGCCCTTCTTCCCCGATTGCTCAGTTTGGCCGGGCGGCCAGCTCTAGGAAGAGTCTTGGTGGTTCCAAACTTCTTCCATTTAAGAATGATGGAGGCCACTGTGTTCTTGGGGACCTTCAATGCTGCAGAAATGTTTTGGTACCCTTTCTCAGATCTGTGCATCGACACAATCCTGTCTCGGAGCTCGACGGACAATTCCTTCAACCTCATGGCTTGGTTTTTGCTCTGACATGGACTGTCAACTGTGGGACCTTTTATAGACAGGTGTGAGCCTTCCCAAATCATATCCAATCAATTGAATTTACCACAGGTGGACTCCAATCAAGTTGTAGAAACAGCTCAAGGATGATCAGTGGAAACAGGATGCACCTGAGCTCAATTTCGAGTCTCATAGCAAAGGGGCTGAATACTTATGTAAATAAGGTTTCTGTTTTTCATTTGTAATAAATGTATTTTGTCATCATGGGGTATTGTGTGTAGATTGCTGAGGATTTTTATTTATTTAATCCATTTTTTGTTTTAAAGGCTGTAATGTAAAGTCAAGGGGTCTGAATACTTTGTGAAGGTTCTGTATATACTACATATATAATATATTTCCTTAATTTAAAGAATACAGTTTTTCTTTGCCTCTTGGGCCTGGGGCCAGGGGCTTCATCCTGGGTAAATCCCTGCATTAATCCGGCCCTGAACCTACCTGGTCCCCGAATCTTCAGAACCACCATGTTTCTTGGTTAGCCGGTGTCTCTTACCTGCATGTCTAGCTAGCGGGCTCGTTAGCTGGTGTCTCTTACCTGCATGTCTAGCTAGCGGGCTCCTGGGGTTTACAGCCCGCTATGGTTCCGTTTGCACCAGGCTCCCTCCTTCCAAAGACAGACTGGCACGCAAGAAAGCAAACAAACACCACAAAAACATAGCAGCCACCACCCCTTTACAAACTCCACAACAACATAACAGCCACCACCCCTTTACAAACTCCACAACAACATAACAGCCACCACCCCTTTACAAACTCCACAACAACATAACAGCCACCACCGCTTAACAAACTCCACCAAAAACCTACAGCCACCACCCCCTTTTCAACTCCACAACAAAATAACAGCCACCACCCCCTTTACAACTCCCAACAACCATAACACCACCACCCCTTTACAAACTCCACAACAACATAACAGCCACCACCCCTTAACTCCACAACCAAAATACACCCCACCCCCCCTACTCCACAACAACATAGCACCACCACCCTTAACCTCCACACCCAACATACGCCACCACCCCTTAACTCCACAACAACATAGCAGCCACCACCCCTTAACTCCACAACAACATACCAGCCACCACCCCTTAACTCCACAACAACATAGCAGCCACCACCCCTTAACTCCACAACAACATAGCAGCCACCACCCCTTAACTCCACAACAACATAACACCACCCCCCCTTAACTCCACAACAACATAACAGCCACCCCCCCCTTAACTCCACAACAACATAGCAGCCACCACCCCTTAACTCCACAACAACATAACAGCCACCACCCCTTAACTCCACAACAACATAACAGCCACCACCCCTTAACTCCACAACAACATAGCAGCCACCCCTAACCCAAACACACCCCACCACCCCTTACTCCACAAAAACATACACCACCACCCCCCTTAACTCCACAACAACATCAAGCCCACCACCCCTTAACTCCACAACAACATAGCAGCCACCACCCCTTAACTCCACAACAACCTAGCAGGCCCCACCCTTAAAAACTCCACAACCAACCCCTAACATCCCACCACCCCTTAATTTCCACACAACCATAACGCCACCACCCCTTAACCCCCCACAACATAGCAGCCACCCCCCTTAACCTCCACAACACATGCCGCAGCCACCCCCCTTCACTCCCAACAACATACACCACCACCCCCCCCCTTACTCCACAAAAACTCCCCCATCCACCCCCGGGG